TTCTTTCCACAGAATGACCCCTTCTGGACAGTCAGCTCCCTTTCCCCGTCTGACTTCGTCAAAGCCGCCAATCAGTCGGTCTGCAGACTGACCGAGATGCTAGAGATGGTCAAGGGCAACGCCACCGTCCTCTTGAACCTTCAAGGCCTGCCCGAAGACCACCCCTACTTCGGCACTTCGGTCAACGTCACCCTGGAAGCCGTCCTCGCCTCGGGCATCCCTCAGCAGGCTGTGAGTTGCACGGGACTTTTGTGGGTAGTGCCTAAGCAGTAGCACTTAGACTCACGTACCACTTCACCGCCCTCTCTAAGCGGTTTAGAGAGTCAGCATATTTGCCCCCCCCCCCCACACACACACCAACAATCTGGGTCCTCATTTTAGCGACCTCGGAAGGACGGAAGGCTGAGTCAACTGTGAGCCGGTCAGGATCGAACTCCATACTGTGGGCAGAGTTTGCCTGCAATACTGCATTCTAATCATTGTGCCACCATGGCTCCTTCCTTTCCTCCTTAGCTCCCTCCCTCCTTTCCTCCTTCCTTCCTTTCCTCCCTCCCTCCCTTCTTCCTTTCCTCCCTCCCTCCTTTCCTTCCTCCTTCCTTCCTTCCTTTCCTCCCTCCTTCCTTCCCTCCCTCTTTTCCTCCTTCCTTCCTTCCTTTCCTCCTTCCCTTCCTCCTTCCCTTCCTCCTTCCTTCCTTCCTTCCTTTCCTCCCTCCTTCATTCCCTCCCTCTTTTCATTCCTTCCTTTCCTCCCTCCCTCTCTCATTCCTTCCCTCCTTTCCTTCCTTCCTTCCCTCCCTCCTTTCCTCCTTCCTTCCCTCTTTCCTTCCTTTCTTCCTTTCCTTCCTCCCTCCTTCCTTCCTTCCTTCCTTCCTACCTACCTACCTACCTACCTACCTACTTAGCAATAGCACTTAGACTTATATACCACTTCACAGCCTTCTCTAAGCTGTTTAGAGAGTCAGTATATTGCCCCCAACAAACTGGGTCCTCATTTTACTGTCCTCGGAAGGATAGAAGGCTGAGTCAACCGTGACCCGGTCAGGATCGAACTCCAGACTGTGGGCAGAGTTAGCAATAACAGTAGCACTTAGACTTACACACCACTTCCCCGCCCTCTCTAAGCGGTTTATCGAGTCAGCATATTTGCCCTCAACAATCTGGGTTTTCATTTTACGGGCCTCGGAAGTCAGGATCGAACTCCTGGCAGTGAGCAGAGTTTGCTTGCAATACTGCATTCTAACCACTGCGCCACCACGGCTCTGCCGGGTAGCTGTGGGACAGACGTTGGGGCTCCTGCCTCAGTGCCAGCAAAAATGAAATCAAAAATCCAAAGCGGAAGAGGGTTTATGGATAGATAAGCGAGCAACTCGGCTACGACAGACCCACAAGAACGACGAGAGTTGTAGGACAATCCTGGGCAGAACCGGCCCTCCAAAAGAGTTTTGCTTTGCTCTTGATTCATTTAATGAACCGGAATAAACACAGGTAGACCTCGACGTAACAACCACAACTGACCCCCAAATTGCCATTGCTCAGCATGACAACTGCGAAGTGAGTTTTGCCCCAGTTTAGAACCTTGCTTGCCACCGTTGTTAAGTTGGTCACACGGTTGTGAAGTGAATCCGGCTTCCCCCTTGCCTTTGCTTGGAAGGAAAGTGGCAAAAGCTGATCAGTTAACGATGCAACCGTCATAAGTACATGCCAGTTGCCAAGCATCTTAAATTTTGATCACCTGACCCTGGGGATGCTGCAAAGGTCCTAAGTGTGGAAAACAGTCAAAAGGCACTTTTTTTCCAACGCCCTTGTAACTTGGGAGAGTCGCTAAACGAAGGGTTGTAAGTCAAGGATTACCTGCACTCATGGTTTGTCCAGCTCACGTTGGTTAAGTGTACCCACCTACGTTTTCACGATTCCAGCTAAGGCATCGGCACATCTTTTGAGTTACTTCGGACTCTGGTGAGCTATTGTAACTCCGATTGCTCCAAAGCATCTCCTGTTACTTCTGGGGTTGGTCCCCTTTGAGGTTGTTAAAACGGGAGAAAAGAGGGGCGACGAGAAGGTCCACTACACCAACGGGTTAGACCTGTCCGTTGACCAAGCTCTTCAGCGGGGGCCTAAGGTTGTCTGGATACCCGTCTTCTGTCTACGGGTCGCCAACTCTCTGGTTCCAAAGGTCTACGAGTTGGACTCTATGTGGTTCCAGTGGGTGGCCCTATAGTCCAAGCGAAGAGTCCGCGCTGATCCGATCCTTTGGCCTGTTTTTCAGAGGCGGTGCCTGATGGGCAATGCCATCTTTCCAAAGGGTACCCCATCTTCTCACTTACGGCCCCGGTTGCTCGCACTTTGTGCTTGCGCTTCTGGAGACGTTCCTTCTGCCTCTGTTTTTTTAATGTTCCCCTCTGTCAACGCTGCTAACGTTGGGTGTTCTTGCTTTGACAAAATATGAAGAGGCAGCCACTCTTATATTAATAATAATAATAATAGTAAAGTTGGAAGGGACCTTGAAAGTCATCTAGTCCAACCCCCTGCTCAGGCAGGAAACCCTATACCATTTCGGACAAATGGCTGTCTAGTCTCTTCTTAAAAACTTCCAGTGTTGGAGCATTCACAGCTTCTGGAGGCAGGTTGTTCCACTGGTTAATTGTTCTCACTGTCAGGAAGTTTCTCCTTAGTTCTAGATTGCTTCTCTCCTTGATTAGTTTCCACCCGTTGCTTCTTGTCCTGCCTCCAGGCGCTTTGGATAAGCTGTGTGGTATTTTTAAGAGTTAAATTAGATGATGCTAGGAGGGGAGGAGAGAGAATGTGTGTGGGGATTAGTCAAGATAAGACACCGCAGGCTACAGAAGATTGGCAAAAACTTTGGGATAGAAAGATTAAACTTACTAAAGCAGCCTCACTTAAAGAAAACTTATATAAAAATGTTTTATAGATGGCATATGACACCAGTTAGATTAGCGAAAAAATGTTTAAAAACGTATCGAACATTTGCTGGAAATGTAAACAAAAACCAGGTACCTACTACCATGCCTGGTGGACATGCCCTAAGAGGCAAAGAAATTTTGGTTTAGGATCCATCGATGGCTGGAAAAAAAATGACTAAAATACAAATAGACTTTAAGCCTGAAATGTTTTTGTTAGGATTATCAGGAACTAATTATGGAAAAGAAAATGAATATTTAATACTACACGTATTGACGGAGGTGAGAATAGTATTTGCCCAATTTTGGAAAAAAATGAAGATTTACCATCTGATCAGACTATAATTACTAAAATTTTAGAATGTGCAGAAATGGATAGATTAGCTTTAGAGATCAGAGAGAAAGAAGACTCTTATCTACTTTGAAACATGGGAAATTTTTTTATCAATGGCTAGCAATACGATAGAATGAGAAAATATTTTGAAATTAATTTGGTTGAATGTGATTTCTAAGCATTAGTGATTATAATTAATGGTTCCGGCTAATGATTATAATTATGGTTCCGGCTAATGAAACACTTCAAAGAACTTCCAGGCATTGGTTTTCCTAAAAGTAATTTATTGTTACAAAATGTAAGCACAGGCATAACGAAGGTATGCTAAGATCTAAATTCTCTTCTTCTGAGCAGTTAAATTATCAGCATGTTCCCTCCCTAAATTAGCTGTCATATATCACGGTTATCCAATTAGTGTGAAGGTCAAAGGTTTCCTTCCTCTCTCTTTCCCGGGCTTTTCCCTCCACCCTCTTCTGCTCTGCATTAACTCTAAAAATACCAGACAGTTCTGCATATTGTCAAAGCAAAAATATACAGTATTTGCAGCGTTGACCTATAACTTATTAATATTTTATTAATTATGGTTATTTAGTAAGATGAATGTTATTTATATCTTTTATTCTTACGGTTATTGTTAACCCAGTTTATTATAATTGTTTAGTACTATATAAGTGATGTTTATTTGATTTTGATACCCGGACGGTAACTTGCTTGTTAAGCGTGGATTTTTTGTTGTACCCACCACCAATTCCCTGGCGTTTACCCTTTCCTATACCCCTATTGATCCCATTCCTTTCCAATCCTTATAAAACCCAATAAAATATTTTTTTAAAAAAAAAAAAAGAACAAAAGGGAAACTTTGCCCTTCAAACTAATTGGAGAACTGCAAATCAGAGAAGGGAAATAATGCTGGAATATTATGTGCTCAGGGGAGGGGAATTCAGATCTTGGCATCCACTATGCTGTGCCGACACTTTCACGATTAAAGACTTTTTAGGATAAACAATGCCTGGAAGTTCTTTGAAGTGTTTCATTAGTCGGAACCATGACACCCTTAGTATACGAAATTAGGCATTTTATAGAATCGATAGCTGAGGTCCCCAACCATTGGGGCACCAGGGACCGGTTCCGTGGTTTTCCCACCGACCGGAAGGTGCGTGGTTTTGTGTGCTGCCTGCATCCCAAGGATGGGACTTTGCTTGTTTGTGCAGACCGGTTGCTGGCATGCCGCGGCCCGGTACCGGTCCACAGACCGGGGGTTGGGGACCTCTGAATGCCACAAAAGGGACGTCAAAGTATGAAATGCTGAATATTTCACACATTTTCCTAAGCCAGGGGTCCCCAACCCCCTGGTTGGTGGACCAGCAGCAGTCCACAACCCGCCAGGAACCGGGCCACGCAAACAAGCAAAGTCCCATCCGTGCGCAGGCGGGATCCAGGAAGCATGCAAAACCAGGTCCCTCCCATCCGTGGGAAAAACGCCCTCCATGGAACCAGTCTCTGACGCCCAAAAGGTTGGGAGGGGGCAGTGTCCTAGGCCAGTGGACCCCAACCTTTTTTGCACCAGGGACCGGTTCAGTGGAGAGAGTTTTTCCCCGCGAACCGGAGCGTGTGTGGTTTTGTGTGGTTCCTGCATCCCGTGGATGGGGCTTTGCTTGTTTGTGCGGACTGGTTGCTGGCATGCCCGATACCGGTCCACGGATCAGAGGTCGGGGACCCCTGTCCTAGGCCTTCCATGCAACCGGCAACATAATAAAATGTTCCCACTAAAATGTTATTTTAGCCTTCCTTGTTGATGGTCTTTTTTTCCTCTTGTGTGTTTTTTTCCCCCCTGTACTTTATTTTGCATTTCTTCTTTCATTTTCGTATATATGTCTTTTCGATAAAGGTTTGGCTCCTTAAAACTGGTCCTCCCTCTCTTAATTTCTCCCCTCCACCCCTATAGGGAATATGTCAGTGCAAATCTGAGCGTCAACCTGTACATCGTCAACGAGCCCTGGCTGTATTCCATCCTCTGGTGCATGGGGGTTGAGTCGGTCACCTCGGACAATTCGCATGTTCTCCGCCGGCTGCCTTCCCCCCTCTGGCTGATGGTAAGTGGCTTTCATTGGCGACTGTTCTTTGGCTGGGCTTTTTCCCAAAGGCGCATCGGTCAAAGGGGAGTTTGCATACCACAGACGGTAATCTTTATTCTGAAGCTCAATTACAGGTTCTCCTTGACTTGACAACAACAACAATAATAATAAGAGTTGGAAGGGACCTTGGAGGTCATCTAGTCCAACCCCCTGCTCAGGCAGGAAACCCTATACCATTTCAGACAAATGGCTGTCCAATCTCTTCTTAAACACTTCCAGTGTTGGCGCACTCACCACTTCTGGAGGCAGGTAGTTCCACTGGTTAATTGTTCTCACTGTCAGGAAGTTTCTCCTTAGTTCTAGGTTGCTTCTCTCCTTGATTAGTTTCCATCGGTTGCTTCTTGTCCTGCCTTCAGGTGCTTTGGAGAATAGCTTGACTCCCTCTTCTTTGGGGCAGCCCCTGAGATACTGGAAGGCTGCTATCATGTCCCCCCTCGTCCTTCTCTTCATTAAACTAGACATACCCAATTCCAGCAACCGTTCCTTGTATGCTTTAGCCTCCAGTCCCCTGATCATCTTTGTTGCTCTTCTCTGCACTCTTTCTAAAAGAATGCAAATGACCAGTTTTTCTGCCAGGAGTATAAATTTTTCCGTTCCCCACCATCCAGTCAGAGCTGAAGAAGCTTCCTGGATGAGAATCGAAACATCTTCAAAGAAAAGCCAACACAGTGCTGGGCTGCATTAACAGAGGGATAGAATCAGGATCACGTGAAGGGTTAATACCACTTTACAAGGCCTTGGTAAGGCCACACTTGGAATACTGCATCCAGTTTTGGTCACCATTCTATTCTATTCTATTCTATTCTATTCTATTCTATTCTATTCTATTCTATTCTATTCTATTTACTCTACTCTACTCTACTCTATTCTGTACACCTGGTTGTACAGGTGTGATAACCAAAATGTTGAGAGGTTCTATGTTAGAAGAGCAGGAATTAATTTAGTAAAATTCAAGAATCTTAAAAGTTTTAGCTTGCCTATGAGTGTGTCTTTACAGAGATTTATGGTGTGTGTCAGTGTCTTGAAAACTTGGCAACTTTACGAAGTGTAGACTTCAACTCCCAGAATTCCCCTGCCAGTATGGCTGCCTGGGGAATTCTAGGAATTGGCCCATACCTGCTGGGTAGGGAATTCTGGGAGTTGAAGTCCACACATGCTGGCTAGGGAATTCTGGGAATTGAAGTTTACATATCTTAAATGAAAAAGGCCTGGGTATTAATGGTTAAACCTGACCATTTCTCTGCTCCCATTCCCCACATTTAGGGGGAGTTGTTTTTTTTTAAAAAAAACCTTAATCTTTCTTAAGTTGTTTTCCTTAATTTCCAGCCTCGGGACGAATACCATCTAATCTGGATAACGGCCGACCTCGCTTCTTTTGTCATCATTGTGGGGATTTTTATCTTCCAGAAGTAAGTAGCACCTACCGATGACTTTGTAATATTGTTAAGAGTCTTCCCATGGATATCTGGAGCCCCTTTGAATCCTTCCTCAGCCTGTTTCCCTCAGGGAATAAAAATAAGAGGCCAAACTTCATCCCACTTGTCAATTCACGGCCACGCAAGGATTTAGCACTTGGCAAGGGATAAATAAATTGCAGAGGATCACAAGGACAAATTGTGGGATCCTTGGTGCTCTCTGAGCTTTGTGGTTTTCTTGCGGACATTTCCTCACCCAACTAGATGTTAGAGTCAGTGCTAGAAGGGAGGGTGTTGCTTCCTCTTTATATACTAGTGGCTTATCCTGTCAGCGTTGGTGGGAGTGTTCTTGATGAGCCCTTATATCAGGGCTCTTCAAACTTGGCCCTTTTAGGACTTGTGGACTTCAACTCCCAGAATTCCTCAGCCAGCTTGCTTGAAGTCCACAAGTCATAAAAGGGCCATGTTTGAAGAGCCCTGAAATAATGCTAAACTGGTGCTTCTCAACCTCGGCCATTTTAAGAGGTGTGGACTTCAACTTCCAGAATTCCTCAGCCAGCGTGCCTGGCTGAGGAATTCTGGGAGTTGAAGTCCACAAGTCATGAGGGGCCACAGTTTCCCCATGCTGGCTCAGGAATTCTGGGAGTTGAAATCCCCGAGTCATGAAGGGGCCATAGTTCCCCCATGCTGGCTCAGGAATTCTGGGAGTTGAAGTCCACAAGTTATGAAGGGGCCATAGTTCCCCATGCTGGCTGAGGAATTCTGGGAGTTGAAGTCCACAAGTCATGAGGGGCCACAGTTTCCCCATGCTGGCTGAGGAATTCTGGGAGTTGAAATCCCCGAGTCATGAAGGGGCCATAGTTCCCCCATGCTGGCTGAGGAATTCTGGGAGTTGAAGTCCGCAAGTCATGAAGGGGCCATAGTTCCCCATGCTGGCTGAGGAATTCTGGGAGTTGAAGTCCTTGAGTCATGAGGGGCCACAGTTCCCACATGCTGGCTCAGGAATTCTGGGAGTTGAAGTCCCCGAGTCATTAAGGGGTCATAGTTTCCCCATGCTGGCTGAGAAATTCTGGGAGTTGAAATCACCGAGTCATGAAGCAGTCATAGTTTCCCCATGCTGGCTCAGGAATTCTGGGAGTTGAAATCCCCGAGTCATGAAGGGGCCATAGTTCCCCCATGCTTGCTCAGGAATTCTGGGAGTTGAAGTCCCCGAGTCATGAAGGGGCCATAGTTTCCCCATGCTGGCTGAGGAATTCTGGGAGTTGAAGTCCCCGAGTCATGAAGGGGCCATAGTTTCCCCATGCTGGCTGAGGAATTCTGGGAGTTGAAGTCCACAAGTCCTAAAAGGGCCAAGTTTGAAGGCCCCTGCCTTTTATAAGTGGTTCCTATATAAATAGAGAGAAAACCCCACACTCTTCTAGCTATGATAATGTTGCCTAGTTGGGTAATGAAACAACCAAGCTCAGAGAGCACCAAGGACCCCACAGTTCACTACCCTGAGCTGCAAATATTCTCTTCCAAGCACAAATTCTTTTCTGCAAAGTCTGGATGCCTTAAGGTGGCATTTTTTTCCCTTTTCCCCCAAGTTGCCGAATGCTAAACTTATATAGTTCTCTTCTTTTCTAGCCATTAGTGTAGGAAATGCAACTTTAGGAAAGCAACTTACAACTTGGAGAAAAGAAGCTGCGAAAGGACAGGAAATTTAAACTTTCAGACAACGTTAAAGAGGAGACACAGCAAATGCCTAGAAAAAAAAGCAGAAACAATCCATTAGTTTAGCGTTGCCCAGATTCGGGTTAAATAAAATTATCAGTTAGCTGCTGAAGTTTGGGCGAAAATCCTTAATGCCTTTTTAAGGGAACTTGGACAAGAGGTTGTAGCATCAGCCAGCATTTTTCAACTTGAAGGTAGATGGACCTCCACTCCCAGAATTCAGCCATGCTGGCTGGAGGATTCTGGGAGTTGAAGTCCACCATCTTAAAGTTGCCATAGTTGGAAAAACAGTGGTGTGTTGTTTTTTTTAAAAAAGAGGTTGATATAGGAGAAAATAAATTCTCCTGATTGTTTTGTTTTAAAACAAAGTTAAAGTAACTTTGTCCTCGTCTTCCAGGGAAAGAATGTCAACATTTCAAAGCACAAGGTCTTGGGTGCCTCTTGATCTTGAATTAATTAAATGTATTTCTTTATTCAGTGCCAGCAGCTCTGGATGGTTTACAAATGGTAAAAAAACTTCAAAAACCAAGGAGACCACAGCAAATTATTGTTTAATAGAAAATATTTGTAGCTCAAGAGTAGACCTGTGCGGTTCCTTGGTGCTTCTCTAAGCTTGGTGGTTTCCTTGCAGACGTTTCATGACCCAATTAGATAACATCACCAGTGCTAGAAGAGAGTGGGGTTTGATCTCTGTAAACAAGCTATTTGTTTATAAACAGAGCAAACTCTATTCTCTTCTAGCACTGATGATGCTCCCTAGTTGGGTCATGAAACATCTGCAAGAAAACAAGCAAACTCAGAGAGCAACAAGGACCCCACACAGTTCTCCTTCTCTATCACCAGTCCTCCTCCTCCTCCTCCTTCTCCTGTACAAACCCCACTCCCTACTAGCACTGATGATGTTACCTAGTTGGGTCATGAAACTTCTGCAAGAAAACAATCAAGCTCAGAGAGCACCAAGGACTCCATAGTTTTTCTCTATCACCAGTCTTCTACTTTCCTTTTTCCTCCTGTCTCAACTAAACTTTCTCCTCCTCCTCCTCCTCCTCCTCCTCCTCCTCCTCCTCCTCCTCTTCTTCTTCTTCTTCTTCTTCTTCTTCTTCTTCTTCTTCCTCCTCCTCCTCCTCCTCCTCCTCCTCCTCCTCCTCCTCCTCCTCCTCCTCTTCTTCTTCTTCTTCTTCTTCTTCTTCTTCTTCTTCTTCTTCTTCTTCTTCTTCTTCTTCTTCTTCTTCTTCTTCTTCTTCTTCTTCTTCTTCTTCTTCTTCTTCTTCTTCTTCTTCTTCTTCTTCTTTTCTTCTCCTTCTCCTTCTCTTCCTTCTCCTCCTTCCCCTTCCTTCTCCTCCTCCTCCTAGTTTGACCCATGAAACATCTGCAAGAAAACAAGCAAGCTCAGGGAGCACCAAGGACCCCACAAAATATTCATTTATGCACCTTTATTCGTGACAGAGACCTCCAACGGGAATAAAGAGAAGCAAGAAAAGGGGGGTTTAAGTCACCCTCTCCAAAGGCCTGGAGGGGGTGTGTGTCTTTAGGGCCTCTTGAAATGCCAACTGGGTGGGGGCCGTTTGAATTTTCGGGTTATTTTCTTACTGCTCTGACATATCTCTGCATGTCTCCTTTCCTCTTTCTTCTTCTTCTTCTTTCCGCTGCTGCATTTCGGCATCTTTACAGCTATCACTTGATCAGGTAATTGCTGGGACCTCCTCCCTCATTTCACCTTCATCTGTCTTTTGGTTTTTCCCTCCCCACCCCCTAACTTTTCTACAAGCTTTGTGGGGGGGGGGGGAATAGGGAGGGAAGCCAAGGAAGAGTGATTTAATCCATTCATTTTACTTAATTTTCCAAGCCAAAGAGTTGGGGAGAAAGAGCGTCTAAAAAAACCCCCAAGGCTTTACATCAGGGGTCTTCAAACCTGGCCCTTTTATGACTTGTGGACTTCAACTCCCAGAATTCCTCAGCCAGGCACGCGTGCCTGGCTGAGGAATTCTGGGAGTTGAAGTCCACAAGTCATAAAAGGGCCAAGTTTGAAGACCCCTGGCTTAGGGTATTGTTTCTGGATGGCTGAGGAATTCTGGGAGTTGAAGTCCACAAGCCATAAAAGGGCCAAGTTTGAAGACCCCTGCGCTCTACATCTGTTTCTCAACCTTGGCACCTTGAAGATGTTGTGGACTTCAACTCCCAGAATTCCCTAGCCAGCCGAACTGGCAGGGGAATTCTGGGAGTTGAAGTCCACAACACCTTCAGGTTGTGAAGACTGAGAGAGACTGCTCTAAATGACAAAGCAGGTATTTGAATATGTGTAAATTGATTTATTTTATTTTATTTTATACATAAATTGATGTTTTTGAATACAGTGGCATTCAATTGCTTTGAAACTCATCGGATTTGGTACTCAACGCATTTTGACGTAAAAATCTTGTCCCGGTACTCGTCGTTTGTTTGGTACTCAGCACACAAGCTAGAACTTGTCGCTGTCGGTTGCCTTGTGACTTTGCTCCTTGTGGGAAAACTTTTGTTTGTTACTCATCGTTTTTGCTACTCATTGCGCCTCCCAGAACCAATGAATGAGGAGTACCGAGGTACCACTGTATCTATAAATCAGGGGTCTTCAAACTTGGCCCTTTTATGACTGGTGGACTTCAACTCCCAGAATTCCTCAGCCAGGCATGCTGGCTGAGGAATTCTGGGAGTTGAAGTCCACCAGTCATAAAAGGGCCAAGTTTGAAGACTCCTGGCTTAGGGTATTGTTTCTGGATGGCTGGGGAATTCTGAGAATTGAAGTCCATCCATGCTGACTGGGGAATTCTGGGAGTTGAAGTCCATCCATGCTGACAGGAATTTTAGGTGAAGTCCATCCATGCTGACTGGGGAATTCTGGGAGTTGAAGTCCATCCATGCTGACAGGAATTTTAGGGGAAGTCCATCCATGCTGACGGGAATTCTGAGAGTTGAAGGTTTTGATGAGCATTGGAAGTGTGATGGGCACAAAACCAGATGGAGCTTTGATTGTATCATCACAAAGTCTTTTGACCCTATCTTCCAGTCCTCTGTCTTCAGCTAATGCCGTTGCCTTTTTTTAAAAAAAAAATCCAAGAGGCTAGATCTCAAGATTGGTTGAGCGCCACGTCTCGTTCGGCTGCACCGTCCCTGACTTTGCTGTTGGAAGCTGCCTGAGAAAGTCACAAATGGGGGTCTCACGACCCCGGGATGCTACGACCGTCAGAAATACATCCTGGTTGCCAAGCAACCAAATTTGGATCACGCATCCACGGGGATGCTGCAACAGTCATAAGTCTGAGGATCGGTTGCCAGTGACTTTTTACAGTCGTAAATTTGAATGGTCACTAAATGAATGTGGTCAGTTGAAGTCTACCTGGAATGTGTGTAGAGATTTTTTTTGTGGCGCACTTTCCTCCTCCCCCCCTTTACTGGTTGATATGACCTTGTGACTCACCCCCTTTTTTTTCCCTCCAAAGGCCGAAGGTTGGGTAGGGGGGAGATATATGCCCAGACCATCATCTTCCTCTCGCCTCATCCAGGCTCTGTCTCTGTGCACATCTGTGCTTTCTCCATGTTCCTGGCACATCACTTCTCTCTTTCCTCATCTTTGCCAAAAGCAACTCCTTTTTTCGACTTTGCCAAAGCAGGGTTGGTAAACTGGTGGGTCTTTTACAGCGATGGTCTTTTAAGTGGCATGGAGGGCTTGCCCTGCATGGGAAAAAAGCTCTCCCTCTCAGGGTTCGGAAGGCAAGGACTGCATTTTTGTATGTGTGTGTTTGTTTGTTTCCTTCCCCGCAGAGGAAGCGCAATTAAAAAAAAAAACGGCAATCCAGGCAGACGTCAGGACGGGAGGGAGATTTACAACTTCCACACCACAGTTCTTGCTTTGAATTTAAAGTCCTTGTGAGAGGAGGGGTAGTTGCGTGGGGAAACAACTGTCCTGTTTTTCCTTATTCCGTTACTGAACTTTTGATACAAGTTAAGACGACCTCGGTGCTCAAACCTGGGGCCCTGGGGAGCCCCAGGTACAAAGGTAGTCCTTGACTTACAATTGGACCCAAAATTCATGTCGCTAAGCGGGACAGTCGTTGAAGTGAGCTTTGTCTCATTTTGCGACCTTTTTTGCTACACTTGTTAAGCGAATCTGGCTTCCCCACTGACTTTGCTTGTCAGAAGGTCACAAAAAGGGGATCACAAGATCCCGGGACACTGCCACAGTCACTAAACGAAGTGTTGCAAATCGAGGACTACCTATAGAAGGTGGGGGGAAATGGATTTCTTGAATAGTAACCCAAATGGGTGCAAATCGGCTCTACGTATCTGGAAGGTGCAACGATCCCGATTTGAAGGGAACGGGGAATATTTGGAGGGGGGCTCCTGAATGGACCCCCAACTCACCAGCAATAGCTCAGAAGCCGCTGTGCGAAGACAGTCAGGTGACCCAGACGCCCTACACAGGGCATCTTGCACGCTTCAAACCACGTCTTCCTCTTTAAACCTGGATTTTTTTGGCCAACCGACCGTGTGTTGTGTGATTGCATCGCCCACAAGTTCCCCCTTTTGTGTACAAGGCATCTGTGTGCTTTGCGTTAGATCTGCATGCGTGTTTTTATTTTTATTTTTGGTTTCTTTGTGGTGTAGGTATTTGTCTTTATACCTCTGGGGATCAAGGAACGTTGGGGTCCCTGTCCTTTTATTCATTATTTCGTCCTGCCCTTTCTTCAGAACTTGGGACCGCCTTCCTCCCCCAGTTCTCCCCCACACACACACACTACAACCTGGCGAGGTAGGCTGGGCAGGAGATAGTGGCTGTCAGGAGTTTTTCCAAGGCTCCGGAGATTGGAACCCGGGTTTTTTCCAGCCTGAAGCATTTTAAAACATTTATTTTATTTCAACAGTTAATACGGTTGCCCTGATCGCAGAGCAGGATATTATTAGCCTGAGTAGTGGTGTTTTATAGAATCAATAATCTCAATTATTGATATGGAATCAATATTTTAATCGCAATAGCATCTGAAAGGTAGTGTTAGTGGCGCCAGTGCTGTTATAATAATATTAATTTTATTTATAGATTTTTATTCTGCCTTTATTACTGTATATAAGTAACTCAAGGCAGTGAACATATCTTAACACTCCTTTCTCCTCCTTTTTCCCCTCAACAACGACCCTGTGAGGTGGGTTGGACTGAGAGAGAAAGACTGGCCCAAAATCTCCCAGCTGGCTGTCATGCCTAAGGCGGGACTAGAACTCACTGTCTCCTGGTGATTGGCCCAAAGTTCCCCGGTTAGCTTTCATGCCTAAGGCGGGACTAGAACTCACTGTCTCCTGGTGATTGGCCCAAAGGTGCTCAGCTAGCTTTCATGCCTAAGGCAGGACTAGAACTCACCATCTCCTGGTGATTGGCCCAAAGTCACCCAGCTATCTTTCATGCCTAAGGCGGGACTAGAACTCACCATCTCCTGGTGATTGGCTCAAAGTCACCCAGCTAGCTTTCATGCCTAAGGCGGGACTAGAACTCACCGTCTCCTGGTGATTGGTTCAAAGTCACCCAGCTAGCTTTCATGCCTCAGGCGGGACTAGAACTCACCGTCTCCTGCTGATTGGCCCAAAGTTTCCCAGTTGGCTTTCATGCCTAAAGCGGGACTAGAATTTACCAAATTATGATTATTTCTTTATTAAATTTATATGCTGCCTATTTCATTCTATAAAGCAACAAAGATTAGTACTAATAGGAACGGTAATAGGAATGGCAGCATTTATAAGATATTAGTAATAGCACCAGCTGCAGTGTTAGCAGTAATGCCATTTCTATTTTATTTATTTCCTTAATTATTTAATCCATTTGCGTAGGCACCCATCCCAGCAAGTGACTCTCGGCCCTGAACAATATCCAAATACCGTATAATGAAAAACAATTCCAACCACAGACGCAAAAATTAAAACCCACAGCTGCCAAGGAATGCATAGCTGCTAACACACCCGAAGCCCAAGTACCTTTTAAAGGCAGTAGTAGTAGCAGCAGCAGCAATAGTAGCAACTCTAGTAACACCACCAAGAGTAATCTTGAGATCCGGTTCCATTAATCTGACCAAGAAATGACAGGAGTATTTTTCAACCTCCGCAACTTTAAGATGGGTGGACTTCAACTCCCAGAATCCTCCACTCCGTTTACAGCTCCTGAGGTTGAGAAACACTGGCCTATAGGCAGTGCATTCAGAGATGGGGGCCATCACAGACAAGGCCCTGCAGGGAATATCCCTCTCCTCTCAGGAATTAGAAAATCCTTCCAATTAGCTTTGTTTAAATTGAGGTGGGGGGGCTGCATGGGGCCCCTCTCTACCAGAGCAATGAGTGACAGAAGGGCTGGAGATAGCATGTTCCCACCTCACCCCGCCCGTGTCTGATTTTCCAAGCAAGGCTCTTCTTTGGAATCCCCAAGGCTGGGGATTCTGGGAATTGAGGTCCACACGTATTAAAATGGCCGTTTGAAAACTAGGGGATTCTGGGAGTTGAAGTCCAAAAGTCTTAAAATGGCCAAGTTTGGAGACGGGGGGAATTCTGGGAGCTGAAGTCCACGAGTCTCAAAGTGACCAGGTTTGGAGACTGGAGGAATTCCGGGAGTTGAAGTCCACGAGTCTTAAAGTGGCCATGTTTGGAGAGTGAGGGAATTCTGGGAGTTGAAGTCCACGAGTCTTAAAGTGGCCATGTTTGGAGAGAGGGGGAATTCTGGGAGTTGAAGTCCACGAGTCTTAAAGTGACCAAGTTTGGAGACTGAGGGAATTTTGGGAGCTGAAGTCCACGAGTCTTAAAGTGGCCATGTTTGGAGACTGGAGGAATTCCAGGAGTTGAAGTCCACGAGTCTTAAAGTGGCCATGTTTGGAGATTGAGAGAATTCTGTGAGCTGAAGTCCACGAGTCTTAAAGTGGCCATGTTTGGAGATTGAGGGAATTCTGGGAGCTGAAGTCCACGAGTCTTAAAGTGGCCATGTTTGGAGATTGAGGGAATTCTGGGAGTTGAAGTCCACGAGTCTTAAAGTGACCAAGTTTGGAGACTGAGGGAATTTTGGGAGTTGAAGTCCACGAGTCTTAAAGTGGTCAAGTTTGGAGACAGGGAATTGAAGTCCACGATTCTTTTAAGTGGCCAAGTTTGGATCCCTAATCCTAACCCCTAGAAAAAGGAAGCTATGGCGGTTCCCCTGAATCCTGCTGCCAAAATGGAGAAAAGATGGAGGACCGGATGTGCAGCTTGCCACCATTTCATTTCCATGCATGCCTCTCCAGGCTTTTCCAGAGGAGGCATTATTTTTCTAGCTTGGAAACCGGTTCCTGGTTCAAAATCTCTGCTCCTTCCTCGCACGGGGCTGCAGATCGGAGGGGCCGAGAAACATTGCTTGCAAACTGAGAGAGGGCAGAGCGCAAACTTCGCAAAGGGTCAAAAGAAAGTCAAGATGGCCGTTGCAGGTTGTGCGGTGTGCGCGAAAATGACCCGGGGTTTTGCACGGGTGCGGGTGGGTGGCCATCCCCGATCCGGTGGAAAACCCCTTCAAACGAGAATCTTTCCGTTTTTCTGCTTCTGTCCCAGGTGGCGCTTTGGCAGCATTCGCACCTACAACCCGGAGCAGATCATGCTCAGTGCCGCCGTCCGGCGGTCCAGCCGGGATGTCAACATCATGAAGGAAAAACTCATATTTTCAGGTAAGAGTTGAGGATGCTTACAGAAGCTGACTTGCAGTCGGATTGTGGTATTGTCGATTACTCTGCGTGCGTGTTTACCTCTCAGATTTAGCCATTTGCTTGCGTGACAGGTGTGCTTTTTTAAAATTACAGGTGGTCCTCGCTTAACAGCCATCTGCTTAGCGACTGTTCAGTTACGACAGTCCTGAAAAAACTAGACTTACATAGAATAGAATAGAATAGAATAGAATAGAATAGAGAAGAAATACAGAATAGAATAGAATAGAATTATAGAATAGAAATACTGAATATAGAATAGAATTATAGAATAGAATAGAAATAATGAATAGAATAGAATAGAATAGAATTATAGAATAGAATAGAAATACTGAATAGAATAGAATAGAATAGAATTATAGAATAGACATACTGAATATAGAATAGAATTATAGAATAGAATAGAAATAATGAATAGAATAGAATTATAGAATAGAATAGAATAGAAATACTGAATAGAATAGAAATACTGAATAGAATAGAATAGAATAGAATAGAATAGAATAGAATAGAATAGAAATACAGAATAGAATAGAATTTAGAATAGAAATACTGAATAGAATAGAATAGAATTATAGAATAGAATAGAAATACTGAATAGAATAGAATTATAGAATAGAAATACTGAATATAGAATAGAATTATAGAATAGAAATAATGAATAGAATAGAAATAATGAATAGAATAGAATAGAAATACTGAATAGAATAGAATAGAAATACAGAATAGAATAGAATAGAAATACAGAATAGAATAGAATTATAGAATAGAATAGAATTATAGAATAGAAATACTGAATAGAATAGAATAGAATAGAATAGAATAGAATAGAATAGGGAATAGGACAGAATAAGGAATAGGACAGAATAAGGAATAGAATAGAATAGAATAGAATAGAATAGAACTGGAAGAGACCTTGGAGGTCATCTAGTCCAACCCCCTGCTCAGGCAGGAAACCCAATACCATTTCAGACTCATGGCTGTCCAGTCTCTTCTTAAAAACTTCCAGTGTTGGATAACACTGTAACAACAAAACAGTTAAGACTTCTGAGATCAAAGCGATTCAGGCTTGTGATTCGGACACAATTTGGCAACCGTCAATTCTATATGAGAGTCGCAGCTTCTGGGTATATGTGTGTGTGTGTCACACAATCTCTGTTTGTGACTTTCCCAGCCGGCTTCCAACAAGCGTAATCAGCAGGGGAAGCCAACAGGGAAGATTGCAAGTCTTGTCTCCCCTTAACAACGGCATCACTTAACGACAATTTTTCTAGACCCGATTGTGGTCGTAAGTCAAGGACTACCTGTAATTTGTTTTTATGAATGAAGGCAGGAAGGGGAGGATGGCTGGCAGAAAAAGCAAGGGTTTGTTTCAGCTTTGGCATTCTAAGTTTGAGGAAATTCAAAAGGAGTATTAAGGGGAAGAAAAAAACAAAACCCCACAAGCTTTCTAACAGTAGGTTGAACTTAATTGCTTGTAAAAATACACAGTATATAATTTCATAAAGAAATGACCCAAAGAGAAGGAGAGCTTATCTATGTAGAGAAGAGAAGAGAAGACAATACAATACAATACAAAATACAAAATATAAAATATAAAATAGAATAGAATAGAGAATAGAATAGGAAATAGAGAATACAATACAATACAATACAAAATATGGAATAGAATAGAATAGGAAACAGAATAGAATAGAATAGAATAGAATAGAATAGAATAGAATAGAATAGAATAGAATAGAATAGGGAATTGAATAGAGTAGAATAGAATAGAATAGAATAGAATAGAATATTGAGAATAGAATAGAATATAGGGAATAGAGTGGAGTGGAGTGGAGTGGAGTGGAGTGGAGTGGAGTGGAGTGGAGTGGAGTAGAGTAGAGTAGAGTAGAGTAGAGTAGAGTAGAGTAGAGTAGAGTAGAGTAGAGTAGAATAGAGCTGGAAGGGCCCTTGGAGGTCTTCTAGTCCAGCCCCCTGCTCAAGCAGGGGACCCTGTCCTATACCATCTCAGACAAGTGACTGTCTAGCCTCTTCTTAAAGTAGCCTGTTTGGATGCTTTAATTCGGATTCCTGTATTGGGCAGGGGGTTGGACTAGATGGCCTCTGGGGACCCTTAATACAGATTTCTGGGGAAGAAAAATCCAATTTAACCTCCCAGTCCCCAGCAAAGTTGGGCTCTAATTGTCTTCTGTTTCTAGGTAGCTGTAGATCACAGTTGTGGATTGGAAAGGGCCTAAGAGGTTATCTAGTCCAGCCCATTGTTCAGGCTGGAACCCACTAGAACATTCTATCAGCTGACCCTCCCGCCTCAGCTGGAAAACCCGCCACCCTCAGGAGAACTTGCCAGCTCAGGTGGCAGCTTGTTCCACCGGCCGAAAGCTTGTACAGACAAGTGGGTTCAGAAAGATTTCCTCAATCGATAAAAAGCAAAAAGCAAAATCCTCTCAATGTAATTCAGAACGAGTCCCCTGTCAGTTCTTTCCAGGATGCTGTATTCCAATCCTGGGTGTTGTGTTTTCTCAAAAAAAAAAGAAAGAAAGAAAAAGAAAGAAAAAAAAAACTTTCCCTCCAGGAGGTGAGAAACAGCCAAATTGTGGGGTCCTTGGTGCTTTTATTAATAATAATAATAATAATAATAATAATAATAATAATAATAGTAGTAGTAGTAGTAGTAGTAGTAGTAGTAGTAATAATAATAATAATAATAATAATTAATAATAATAATAATAATAAAAGTTGGAAGGGACCTTGGAGGTCATCTAGTCCAACCCCCTGCTCAGGCAGGAAACCCTATACCAGGGGTAGGCAACCTCGGCTCTTTTATGACTTGGGGACTTCAACTCCCAGAATTCCTGAGCCACCATGGCTCAGCTTGGAAACCTCTCCCTTTCCCCTCAGCATGGCTGGCTCAGGAATTCTGGGAGTTGAAGTCTACGAGTCATGAGGGGCCATAGTTCCCCATGCTGGCTCAGGAATTCTGGGAGTTGAAGTCCACGAGTCATGAAGGGGCCATAGTTCCCCCATGCTGGCTGAGGAATTCTGGGAGTTGAAGTCCACCAGTCATAAAAGAGCCGAGGTTGCCTTACCCCTGCTCTAGAGTCTAGACCATTTCGGACCGATTTTAAGCTTTTAAGCTTGATGGTTTTCTGGCAAACATTTCATTACCCAAACTAGTTCTGCTAGCATGACCTAGTTAGGGTAACGAAACGTCTGCCAGAAAACGAGCAAGCTCGGAGCCCACCGGGGACCCCCCCCTCCTTTCAACCCCCCACCCCCCCAGCTACAAAGGTCCTCCTTGATCAGCCCAATTGTGTTTTGAACGATGTCTTGCAGGTTCTAGCCTCTAGAGGGCGCCAGGCTCCCAGACCTGGGGGTTTCCTTCAGCCTGGAGTCGTAAGTGTGGCTTTCGAAGGCTGGCATTAACCCCACGGTGGCTGGAGGGCAGCAGGACGGTGCCCGGGGCTTTCTGGCTTGCTTTTTTCCCCCTGGGGGAAGTTGGCACTAACCTTACGGCGTTCCTCCTCCTCCTCCTCCTCCTCCTCCTCCGGGCCCCTTCCCTGGTTCCCGGGTTGCCCCTTCGATCTCAAGGCTGGAGCCGAGAGGGCGGGCGGCTGGCCATCCTCTTCGCTTCTTCATCCGAGCCCCCTTTTGGGGAAAGGCAGGAGCAAAAGCGGCGGACGGATCTTCTTCGAGGGATTCCCGCAGCCTCGCCGCTTGCATGTCGGAAGGGAAGCCCTTTAGTTCCTGATCAAGGGGCTGGGATGACCGGGGGGGGGGAGAAATGGGCACTCAGAGCTAGGGTTGCTAGGTGTCCACTATTTGAGTGGACAGTCCACTTTTTTCACATTATGTTCACTATTTTTTTTCACAAAAGAGTGGACATTTTTTTTTATTCAAAAGCTTTATGATGAAATGGTACGTAATCTAAAGCTGTACAGTCTACTTTTTTTACGACTTAAACCCCCCCTCCCCGCTTGTCCGCTATTTTTTGGAAGCAGACCTGGCAACCCTACTCAGAGCAACCTTTGGGCTTTTAGCCGGCTTCTGCCAGGTTGTCCATGAGAGGGCAGCCCTCTTGGGAGTTTGAAATGGCAGCCTGCCCCCCCCTCCTTCTCCTCCCTCTCCCCTTCCTCTTCTCTCCTCCCTTCCCTTCCATCTCCTCTCCTTCCTCTGCTTCCTTTCCCCCCTCCCTTTCCCTCCCTCTCCCTCTCCCTCTCCTCTCCTTTCCCCTCTCCTTCCTTCCTTCCTTCCCTCCCTCCTCCTCCCTCCCTCCCTCCCTCTCTCCTTCCCTCCCTCCTTCCTTCCTTTTTTATTTCTCTCCCTTCCTTCCTTTCTTTCTCTTTCTTTTCCTTCCTTCCCTCCCTCCTTCCTTCCCTCTCTCCCTTCCTTTCTTTCTCTCTCTCTGTCTTTTCCTTCCTTCCTCTCTTTTCCTTCCTTCTTTCCTTCCTTCCTTCCTTTTTATTTTTCTTCCTTCCTTCATTCTTTCCTCTTTCTTTTCCTTCCTTTCTTTTCCTTCCTTCCCTCCCTCCCTCCTCCCTTCCCTCTCTCCCTTCCTTCCTTCCTTCCTTTCTCTCTGTCTTTTCCTTCCTTCCTCTTTCTTTTCCTTCCTTCTTTCCTTCCTTCCTTTTTTATTTTTCTTCCTTCCTTTCTTCATTCTTTCCTCTTTCTTTTCCTTCCTTCCTTTCTCTTTCTTTTCCTTTCCTCCTTCCTTCCTTCCTTCCTTCCTTCCCTCCCTCCCTCCTTTTTTATTTCTCTTTTCCTTCCTTCTTTCCTTCCTTCCTTTCTCTTTCTTTTCCTTCCTTCCTCTTTCTTTTCCTTCCTTCCCTCCCTCCTTCCTTCCCTCTCTCCCTTCCTTCCTTCCTTTCTCTCTCTGTCTTTTCCTTCCTTCCTCTTTCTTTTCCTTCCTTCCTTTCTCTTTCTTTTCCTTTTTTCCCTCCTTCCTTCCTTCCCTCCCTCCCTCCCTCCCTCCCTTTCTTTTTTATTTCTCTTTTCCTTCCTTCTTTCCTTCCTTCCTTTTTATTTTTCTTCCTTCCTTCATTTTTTCCTCTTTCCTTCCCTTCCTTTCTTTCTCTCTGTCTTTTCCTTCCTTCCTCTTTCTTTTCCTTTTCCTTCCTTCCTTCCTTTTTTATTTTTCTTCCTTTCTTCCTTCTTTCCTCTTTTCCTTCCTTCCTTCCTCTTTCTTTTCCTTCCCTCCCTCCTTCTTTCCTTCCTTTTCCTTCCTTTTTTTCTCACTCTCTTTTCCTTCCTTTCTTTTCCTTCCTTCCTTCCTTCCTTCCTTCCCCCTCTCTCTTTTCCTTCCTTCCCTCCCTCCCTCCCTCCCTCTAAATTGAGGACCACCCGTTCTTAAAATCCATCCAAAGTTCTTGCTCCTTGCTCTCCTTTGGGTCGTCGGCGCAGAACAGCCAGGACTGACCGGTGTCATCCAGTAGCAGACTTGATTCCTCCTGCTTGGTTTTTGCTCTCGTCATTCCTTCCTGCTTCTTGATTTCACTTCCTGGACCCCTCTGCCCCCTTTTTCAGAAATCAACAGCGGCATGGAGATGGCGGACGGGTTCTCCTTGTGTTCGGACAACGGCTACGCCAACGAGCTTGTCACCCCCATGGACCACCGGGAAGCGAAGCTGCGTATTAACTGACGGAGGGAGAGGAGGGGGCGGTGGGTATGATCTGGGGGTGGGGGTCTCCGTGACTCTCCCAGGGGCTTCCTTACTAGCACAACGAGGAAGAGTCGGCCGAGTCGGTGCTCCTTTGTCGAAACTCCCGACGCAACAAACTTTGTGAGGGCGGCCTGGAGCCTCTCTGGAAACTGAAGCTGGGCTGGGTTTCTTTATTATTATTATTATTATTATAATTATAATTATTTTGTAAAGTTTCTCCCTTTTTTGCCTGCTGTGGGCAGCGGGAACCGGCCCATAGGCCAGAGGCAGGTGGGACCCCCCCCCACCCTGGCTGGACCACGAGCTGAGATGCTGGCCAGGTCAGCAGGGGAGGACCTCCCCATAATCCCCCTCCCCATCCCACCCCACCCCACCGACTTCTCCATTCCTTCCTTTGGGACAGCGATTGTTAGCTGGCTTTATTTAAAGATGTATGTTGTGAAACCCTTGTGCGGTGTCTTCATTTCTGAACACTTCGGGGATTGGGAGAATTGCAACTTCACAGCCATTCGTTTAGCGACCGTTCAAAGTTTTAACAACGGTGCTGGGGAAAAAAAAGTGACTTAATGGCCAGTTTTCACTCTTGCATCCCTGCGGTCATGTGATCAAAATCCAGAGGCTCGGCAACTGGCAGGCCTTTGTGACAGTTGCTAAGGCCCGGGGTCACGTGATCCCCCTTTTGCGACCGTCTGGCAAGGCGTCGCAATTGGAAGCATTCGCTGCAGTGAGGAACAAAACCCTGACCAAGACGTGGTAGCCAAAGAGGCCTGCCTGAATCAGGTCGAAAATTAAAAAAAGTTTTTGCTGTTTCCTAGGCAACTGCCTACGGTCTGGATAAGATAAACAGTTCAGGGTATTTTCCAGAGCAGTCGCTGTGCTCATCTGTTGCACGGATGCTAAGCCTTAATTTATTTTTGCTACAGTTCCCGGAAATCGGCCATGTGTTCTCTCTCTCTCCGTGCCCTTTAATGAAGACATATGAGCCAGCCGTGTGCTGCAGCTGCCAAAAAAGCCAACACAGTGCTAGGCTGCATTAACAGAGGGATAGAATCAAGATCACGTGAAGTGTTAATACCACTTTACAAGGCCTTGGTAAGGCCACACTTGGAATATTGCATCCAGTTTTGGTCACCACTATATAAAAAAGATGTTGAGACTCTAGAAAGAGTGCAGAGAAGAGCAACAAAGATGATTAGGGGACTGGAGGCTAAAGCATATAAGGAACGGTTGCTGGAATTGGGTCTGTCTAGTTTAATGAAGAGAAGGACGAGGGGGGACATGATAGCAGTGTTCCAATATCTCAGGGGTTGCCATAAAGAAGAGGGAGTCAAGCTATTTTCCAAAGCGCCTGAAGGCAGGACAAGAAGCAACGGATGGAAACTGATCAAGGAGAGAAGCAACCTAGAACTAAGGAGAAACTTCCTGACAGTTAGAACAATTAACCAGGGGAACAACCTGCCTCCAGAAGCGGTGAATGCTCCAACACTGGAAGTTTTTAAGGAGAGACTAGACAGCCATTTGTCTGAAATGGTGTAAGGTTTCCTGCCTGAGCAGGGGGTTGGACTAGAAGACCTCCAAGGTCCCTTCCAACTCTTGTGATTGGTTGATTGATAGTGTGCAAATCCATGTATTGGAGTTTATGTCTGAAGCTAAAACATATGAAGAACGGTTATGGGAATTGGGTATGTGTAGTCTAATGAAAAGAAGGACTAGGGGAGACATGATAGCAGTCTTCCAATATTTGAGGGGCTCCCACAAAGAAGAGGGGGTCCACTTTATCTCCAAAGCACCTGAAGGCAGGGCAAGAAGCAGCAGATGGAAACTAATCAAGGAGAGAAGCAACCTAGAACTAAGGAGAAACTTCCTGACAGTGAGGACAATTGACCAGTGGAATAGATTCCCTCCAGACGTGGGTGCTCCATCACTGGAGTCTTTTAAGAAGAGACTGGGCAGCCATTTATCCAGAATATATTATAGGGTCTTCTGTTTAAACCGGGGGTTGGACTAGAAGACCTCCAAGGTCCCTTTGGACTCTGCTATTGTGTTAATTAGCTAAATCTTTGGTCACTAAATGGCCCCCTAATCATCTTTGCTGCTCTCCTCTGCCCTCTTTCCAGAGTCTCAACATCTTTTTTACATCGTGGTGACCAAAACTGGACGCCGCATTCCAAGTGTGGCCTTAGCAAGGTCTTGTAAAGTGGTATTAATATTTCACGTGATCTTGATTCTCTCCCTCTGTTAATGCAGCCTAGCACTGTGTTGGCTTTTTTGGCAGCTGCAGCACACGGCTGGCTCCTATTTAAGGGATCGTCCACTAGGACTCCAAGATCCCTCTCACAGTTACTACTATTGAGCCAGGTACCCCCTATTCTATACCTGCGCATTCTTTATTGGAACGACCGAAATGCATTGCGATTCCCGCAGATAGAAAAGGAGCTGGTTTTTTTTCTCTCCTTTCGTCACTAGCTTTCTACATTCTTCTCCAGGATTCTTGCTTTTTTTTAAAAAAAGGCGTCAAACGTCTCATCTTCCGGGCGTGATAACGGGGACAGGATGCCCGATCCCTGTTCGAGAAAGTCATAATACGTCAGCATCTCCTTCTCAAGCACCAAGCCTCCATCAGGCAGAGCATCACTTTGGAAAACGCCAGGCCCACGAGGAGACCGGCCAGCAGCCAGGCCCCCCTGGATAAGACGGAAAAGAGGGTGTCCCTTATTGCTTGGGGGTCTAGCTTCAGCTTGGCCTGCACCATCTCGAAGAGCAGGGAGGGACCCTCCAAGCAGGGGTCCGTCTCGGAGTCGTCGAAGGGGAACGGCTCCAGCTGTTCCTGCAGACACAGGATCTCGTTTTCCTGGACGTCGCAGATCTGCCGGAGTTTATCCATCGCGCGCTCCAGCTCGGCCGACTGCGTCTTTTGGCCCTCGTAACGCTGCTCGGCCGCCTCAATCATCCCCTCCTTGACAAATTTCATGGGGTGTTAAACAAGGTGGTGGACGAAGTACGCGCAGTACAAGACCAGGACCGATAGAGACATTAGGACTTTAGACTGGTCGACCAACCTCTGGCAGACCTAAAGCCTCGCCTCCTGGAACAACCAGAGGCGGTTCCAGACCAAAACCCGGAGGTCCAGACGGGCCCACAGAAGGGCAAGAGCCTGCAGTTCCCGAAGTTCCTTCTCTTCCTTTTCCAAGACCTTCACCATGGTGGTCAAGCAGTCGATCCTCTCCTCCAGATTCTTGTTCTCCTGTTTGAGGTTCTCTACTTCCTTCAGGATCTTCTGGTTTTCGGCCTCGCGACCCGCCACTTTCTCTTTTAGGTGGCCGATCTCCTTCTTTAAGCTTTCCTGGGTGGACGTCGGAAGAGTCTCTGCTGCTTTCTCCATGGGGGGGTTGGGGGGGGAAGGACTCGAACCCGGTGCCGTTTCCTGTGAGTTCAAGCAAAAGGGAGAGGAAGCCAGCGTCAAGCCATCATATTCTCGGCGCGCCCCGTTCTGTTTTTTAGATATTTTCATACGGACAATCATGGCAGATGACAGCAGGCTGGCCCAATTTAACTTAGCTCCTGATTAGGTTGATACGGGGATGGGAGACCACTAGGAAACGGGATGGGAGACCACTAGGGAAAAAACCTCCCCCCAATAATATTTGGCTGATGGGGTTGACTTTAGTGCTTGCTGGACAAGCTCCAAATCAAATCAGCAGCCAGCGTAAAAAAAAAAAGGAAAGGGATGCACATTTTAATATATATTAAGACATTTAAAAATTTAAAAATGAAAAAAAATACTAATTACTTCTCAACCACCTGTCCTGCTAAGAACTGAATATATAATTTTTTAAATAAAAGATTAACAAGATGTGAGTTCTTTCTTCTTCTTCTTCTTCTTCTTCTTCTTCTTCTTCTTCTTCTTCTCCTCCTCCTCCTCCTCCTCCTCCTCCTCCTCCTCCTCCTCTTCTCCTCTTCTCCTCCTCCTCCTTTCTCTTTTCCTTTCTCCTCCTTCCTCCTTTCTTCTTTCTACTTCCTCCTCTCTCCTTCTTTCTTCTCCTTCTCCTTTCCTCTTCTCCTTTCTCCTCCTTTCTCCTTTTCTCCTTTCTCCTCCTCCTCCTCCTCCTCCTCCTCCTCCTCTTCTTCTTCTTCTTCTTCTTCTTCTTCTTCTTCTTCTTCTTCTTCTTCTTCTTCTTCTTCTTCTTCTTCTTCTGCTTCTGCTTCTGCTTCTGCTTCTTCTCCTCCTCCTCCTCCTCCTGCTTGTTTATTGTGGGGATCAGAGAAACCATCATTTTGCCTACTCACCAAAGGATCCTCAATTCCCACGAGAGAAATGGCCTCTCCCAGACAGCCCAGCACCAACCACAGCAGAGTCCATACCCAACGGTCAGAAATTGCCTCACAGATGACATCACAATGCAGGTGTCACCACACAAAGGAGACACACACTCACAGTCCTGGCAATGGAAAGGAGCATTTGAGCGCAAAGTCTATACCTGTTGGCAGCCACACGCTGAAGACTATGCTGGGATGGGGTGATTAGTTTATTGAAATTTAGGAAGCACCCTTTGAAGGGAGCTTAAAATTGAAAATATAAGGGGAGAACCCATAACATTGAGCCCCCCCAAAAAATAGTAAAGTAAAAACAGAAGCTGAATATCCATCTTTGTTCTAGGCATGGAAGAATGTTAGTAATTAGCTAGGGGATTCTGGGAGTTGAAGTCCACACAGTTTTTAGTGGCCACAGTTGAGAAACACTGTTCTAGATGCATGGACTTTGTTAGTCCATGGGATGGGAGACCACTAGGAAATCTTAGATTGGAAGGTTGGAACCTATCCTAGAAGGAATAGAATAGAATAGAATAGAAATCTGGAAGGGACCCTGGGGGTCTTCTAGTCCAGCCCCCTGCTCAAGCAGGAAAACCTACACCATTTCAGACAGGTGAATGTCTAGTCTCTTCTTAAAAACCTCCAGTGATGGAGTCCCCACGATTTCT